TGGAGAATCTTCACCATAAGACTTTGAAAGTCTACAGCCGGATCGGTTTGCAACTTACGCAGGCGGACTTCCCTCTTGACGAGGCCGGCCGAGGCGGCCGCCACGAGGGCCAACGCGACGATGATGGACTTCATGGTGTGGACGGCGGTGCGGTGTTGGGACAACTGGCTGCGGCGGCCAGGATGCGCACTATAAACGCAGCGCGGTCCCCCCACCCGCCCCACCTGGCTCCAGCAGCAGGCCTCCAGGCCGCCTCCAGCGAGCTCCCCGCGTGCGCCCCTCCAGCACGGGTCGGGCGCCGCACAGTGGGCCAGAAGACCGGTGGAGGCGGACAAAACTCCAGACGCGTTTTGAGCTCCAGAGTCGCTAAATAAGGCTGGAACCGAACGTGTGACCCCACCAATGGATTCCTCGTTCAGAGAGCAATCCGGTGGGGTCACACGTTCGGTTCGAGTCCCAATTAGCAACTATAGAGCTCAAAACGCGTCTGGAGTTTTGTCCGCCTCCAACGGGTCTTCTGGCCCACTGTGGGGCGCCGCACCGCCGGGGAGAATGATGCGGATTAAAACGTGAACCCCGGGCCGCGGGCTCGGGCCCCGAGCGTGGCGCGCCGGCGGCGTGCTCCCGAGGCACAGTGTCCTTACCGCCGCGCGGGCGGGGTGGCTGCTCCGGTGGCTGCGATGAAGTAGTTACGTTGATAACACGCCACGGCATGACAGGGCACGCCACGACAGAGTGCGGCACGGCACACTGGCAAAGAGGACTGCAGCCATAATCACGGGGGCGGGCTGCCGCATGGGTGGAAGGGCTGCACTGGCGAAGACTCGTTTTCGTCGCCTGGTCTCTCTCGCACCACACATGAGCGACGCCCGATGAGCTGCGTGCGCAGACACGAGCCTGTCACACCACACTGCACTGCGCTCGGAATGCACTCGCGGTGTCTGTCGCCGGCTCTGTCACACCACACTGCACTGCGCTCCGAATGCACCTCGCGGTGTCTGTCGCCGGCTCTGTCACACCACACTGCACTGCGCTCCGAATGCACCTCGCGGTGTCTGTCGCCGGCTCTGTCACACGCAGCAGCACCTCCGCGGACGACCCAAGAGCGCCCCGTCGGGGTTCGTTGCCCCCTTTCCTTTTCGCGCCTCCGCCGGCCTCGGCGCGCTTCGGGTCGCGCTTGTTTGCGGGGTAACCCTGTCTTCTTTTAACGTAAGGAATTGGTGTGAAGGACGCGGCACTGCTTGTCGGCGCCGTGCTGCGCGGTGCGGCGGTGCGGCGGCGCGGCGGGGACGGGAGGAAAGATCATCTCGGGCCGTCGGCGTGCAGCCCGGCCAGCCGAGCCGTTTTCGACGCTCTGTCTCTCTCGCACTCATGGGGCGTGCCGTGCAGGTGCGAGAGAGACAGGGCGACGAAAACGACTCTCGGAATCGGGCTGCAGCCGGCGCGACCCTGGCCAAGTCGCTGACTCGCCGGCCCGGCCGGGTCCGCGGAGCTGACTCGAGCTGACAGCATCGGCAGGCCGACGGCGAGCCGACTACCCTATTCAGTATTGTCGGTGCGGAACCGCGGCACGCAGTCCTGCAGCCCGATGCAGGACCTGCACTGTGAATGTTGGCCAAGGCTCACTGCCGATGCAGCCGATGCAGCGCGATGCAGGATGCACCGTCACGCCAACAAACTGCAGCGACCATTATCGGCCCCTTCAAAGACTGACACCGTGCGAGGAGTCGCGCGCCGCACAGTGGGCCAGAAGACCGGCGGAGGCGGACAAAACTCTGGACGCGTTTTGAGCTCCAGAGTCGCTAGGCCTCGAACCGAACGTGTGACGCCACCAATGGATTCCTCGTTCGGAGAGCAATCCATTGGTGGGGTCACACGTTCGGTTCGAGTCCCATTTAGCGGCTCTGCAGCTCAAAACGCGTCCAGAGTTTTGTCCGGCTCCACCGGTCTTCTGGCCCACTGTGCGCCGCCCGCCAAACAGGGGTGCTCTCATCGCGCTGTCTCTCTCGCACTGCCCACCAAACAGTAGCAGTGCACTTGTCCAAGTCACGCTGTCTCTCTCGCACCCACGGCACGCCTCGGTGTGCGAGGGAGCCGAAGCGAACATCGTTCGGAAGCATGCGGTTTGGATCTTTACCTTGACCTCCTCCGATTCCGCCAGAGACCACACTCTAAGACAGCGGTTCCCAACCTTGGGGTCGCGACCCCAAATGGGGTCGCGAAAAAATTTCGAGGGGTCGCGGCGAGGTGGCTGGGGTCGCCTGGGGTCGCGGTGGTTTCCCGCGGTGGTCACAAATGTTTGTGAAAAATCGTGTTTTGGGCCGACTTTAAGCATCCACTGCGTCTGATTCGAGGCGGTATTTCGTCCTCCCTCAACGGGCAATTGGTCTTTGGACCTTCCTTTAGCATGCCTTTGTTACGGAGTGCGATTATCTGCCTTAGTTTGGGAGCAGTATTGCCTCAAAGTTGATCAAAACGGTCACAAATGTCTGAAAAATCGTGTTTTGATCAACTTTGCGGCAATACTGCTCCCAAACTAAGGCAGATAATCGCACTCCGTAACAAAGGCATGCTAAAGAAAGGTCCAAAGACCAATTGCCCGTTGAGGGAGGACAAAATACCGCCTCGGATCAGACGCAGTGGATGCTTAAAGTCGGCCCAAGACACGACTTTTCACAGACATTTGTGATCGTTTTGATCAACTTTGCGGCAATACTGCTCTTAAACTAAGGCAGATAATCGCTTTCCGTATCAAAGGCATTCGAAAGGAAGGTCTAAAGACCAATTGCCCGTTGAGGGAGGACGAAATACCGCCTCGGATCAGATGCAGTGGATGCTTAAAGTCGGCCCAAAACACGATTTTTCAGACATTTGCGCCCGTTTTGATCAACTTTGGGACAATACTGCTTCCAAACTAAGGCGGATTATCGCACTTTGTATCAAAGGCATGCTAAAGGAGGGGTCGCGTGGGGTCGCGAAATTTTTCCTGCGGGTCGCGTAAATGTTTGGCTACAAATTTGGGGTCGCGAGCTGAAAAAGGTTGGGAACCGCTGCTCTAAGAGTCTTATGGTGAGCACTCTCCATTATTGTGAAAATTCTACACAGATGGAGCAGCTTGATTTTGTGACCTACCTCTCTGAAAATTCATTGTATGTTTTCCATATTTTCTTGAATTTCTTCCGTATTGTGGAGAAAATCTCCACCAAACCATGTTGGTGCAGCCTGTCACCAAGACTGTCACACTAACCGTAAGACACTCGCTGTGCGTACGCCCCGGCGGTGGGACTGATTCCGAGAGTCGTTTTCATCGCTCTGTCTCTCCGGAAATCATAGGAAGTCCCCTATAGGTGCGAGTGAGACAGGGCGACAAAGACGAGTCAGGCTGCAGGCGGCTGCAAGTTGCCATAATTATTTACCGCCCCGGAGCTATTGTGGCCGGATTAGTTTCCAGCTTTCCATGTGCCATTCCACTTTGCTCTGCGCGATGGCACAACTCCCCGAGGCGGTCGTGGTCAGCCCCAGCCTCGCACACGGCTTGCGAGCAGACTGGTGCCGAGAGCCGTTTTCGTCGCTGTCTCCCTCGCACTCATGGGGCGTCCCGTATGGGTGCGAGAGAGACAGCGCGACGAAAACGACTCTCGGAATCAGTCTGCTGGCTTCGCCTGGCTTTGCCACTTTGTAATCACCAAGGCGAGATTCCCCCCTCCCCGGCCGGGCTTCCTGGCATTCTTGAAGGGAACAAGCTGAGCATAAAAAAGGTGGTCAAATGAAGAGTCATTACTCGGCTCACCTCGGCGTGGGGCCCGCAGCCCGCAGCGCCGCGTTCGGCACGGTTCCCGCAAGCTTCCCTTCACTTTCTGGAAGGCGACTCCAAGTCCCGAAACACAACTTTCATTGAGTGCCTCTCAATTACAGCAGTAGAACAAACTATTAACAAAAACGTGAAGCTGTTTACCTTTGCGGTTTGTTATTCAAAAGAGTTGCCTCTTCGGACAGAACTTCTTACCCTACGATGAACCCGATGAACCTGTGCCCTGTGCACTGTAGAATCGAGAGGGTTGTCCGGGTTCCGCTCTCGACAAATTGACTATCAACGCCTGCCTGCCAAAGGGGCTTAAAACGAGAGGGAAAAGATACGTCGTTATGGTCAACTTCTCATTAGGCAGGCAAAGGTTGAGAATTCCCTCGGTAGTTTTGCTTCGTCTCCATGAAGGAGTCAAGAGTGCACTTCCAGAGGCCCGCGCGTGCCCTGCCGGTTGGGCTGCCTATGGTCCGGGCGCTGCCGCCTGCCGCACAGTGTGCCGGCGAGGTCCAGGACGCGGAGTAGCGCCAGGGACAGGTTGCCTGCCGCGCGATTCCGCTGCTCGCACTGCTCGCTCTGTCTCTCTCGCACTCATGGAGAGAGAGAGAGAGAGAGAGAGAGAGAGAGAGAGAGAGAGAGAGAGAGAGAGAGAGAGAGAGAGAGAGAGAGAGAGAGAGAGAGAGAGAGAGAGAGAGAGAGAGAGAGAGAGAGAGAGAGAGAGAGAGAGAGGAGAGAGAGAGAGAGAGGGAGGAGAGAGAGAGGAGAGGAGAGAGAGAGGAGGGGGGGGGGCAGAGAAAGAAGAGCGGGCATAGCTGAATCGCTGGCCTACTTGCGAGGGGTAACGCCGCCAGTCGGAGTGCAAGAAGAATGAACGATTCCAGTGTCAGAACCTTTGTCTAATTCCTCAATCACGAACTACTTGACGAAAAAATGACTTGATCAAAGTGTCACTCACGATTCTTATCAAACATTGCATCAATGATTCCCACTCAAGACAACTTCATTCCGGGCATTCCATACAGCAGATTTTTTTGTCGAGTGCCACATGGTGGTATCCTATGCAAGAAAACTGTGAGTGTCTTTCCCTGTGGAGATGCAACAGTTGCTCTGTGGCTACGCGCTGCGGGGCTCTCGGACAGGGGTATCGCCGCGCCACTGACACATGCTGCGGAACCTGCTTGCACGGTGTATCGCCATGCCAGGCACGCTGAGACGCACGGAAGAGGTTAGACCTGTAAAGTTGTGGTGTCTAGTGGTATTTTCTCGCTATGGACACTGAACGCAGCAAGCCACACAAGTCGGGGAAGCGTTGTTCCGTGTTAGGGTGCATGGAGAAACAAGGGCCCATGTTTATATTTCCGAAAGACGAGACAAAGCGCCTTCGGTGGAGAGAGGCCACCAGAATCATCAAAGACCCCTCTTATTACTCGTACGTTTGCATTCGACATTTTTGCGGTTCCGATATAATTACACAGGTGAGTGTTATTTTTTGGATGAGCATTACATTCCCTCTTTCAACTCTTTAACTTGGACTCTGACTTTGCAGGGAACGGTGCGCGTCGCTTGAAAAAGAATGCAATTCCAACCCTTCACTTGCCTGCCGATGATTCTTTGATCAAGAAAAAGGAAAGACACTCTTGCATTGTTAGAGGCTGCAGTTATGGTTTAAGCGATGGTGTTACTTTGCACAATTTTCCAGCAAGCATTGTACGACAAGAGGAGTGGAAGGCTGTTGTGAAAGTGGAAAATGTGTCCCAATACACAAGAATCTGCAGCAGACACTTTGAGCCCTCAAATTTTAGAGAGTTTAGCGATGGTTAGGCCCTGTTTATATTCAGTCTGTCCTTTGTTTACTTTTATCTGTGAACAACCTAACCATTTTCTTTTGTACGTTTGTTACCCACAGGGAGGAGAGTTCTGAGTTCCGATGCTTTCCCAAGTCTCCACCTGCCAGGAACGGGCGATGACAGTGGCTGCCAAGGAGCAGAATGTATTGACATCAAAAAGTTTTAAAATTTTTTGCAAAAAGTGTCAAGTAGCTGAAGGGCTTCGTGGGCAGCCTATACCTGATGGTGAAGACAGTGGCAGTGATAGTGTTAGTGATGTGAAGGAGGCTTGTGATCTGGTTCGTGATCCTGAAGAGTTGCCTGTTTCCGAAGTTCTCAGTGACCTACGTAGTTCTGTGTTGTGTGATCTTAGTGATTCTGAGGCCGCTGAAGTGGGCAGCACTATGTTACAGCTTACCACCACTGCTTCTGATAACGCTACTTCACCTACTGGACCATCAATGCATTATTTGGTGAGCAGGTCTTGCCAGTGACAGTCCAGTCCACTGCAAAGCTTTTCGTTCGTGACAAAGATATTGTCATTTTAAAGTGTTCACGGCAAGAAGAAAAAATGCTGGCACGGTGCGCTCTTTTAGGCTGCAGGCCTGGCGAGAAGCCGAAATTGCACAAGTGAGTGTTGTTTGTTTACGTGACTAGGTTAGGTTGCCCCTGTGGCTTTTCCAGCAAAACCTCTATTTGATGGTGAATTAAATAATTTGATGGTGCTCTCTTTGCTAGGTTTCCTGCCAACAAGGTGCTGGCCGAGCTGTGCGCCAACTTTGTGAGCGAGCACAACGTCTCTACCGGAAAGGGCCCTGGGAAACCGTACTCAGGCGCTACAGTGTGCAGGCTGCACTTTATTCCAACTTGCTACAAAACGTCGTCAGGGCGCTTGGGCGCTGGAAGTGTGCCCAGCATCCCACCTCAGCAGTAAGTGTTGTGTCATTCTTGAAAGAGAGTTTAGTGATCTGTCTGTGGATAAATACTTAATGGCTTTTATCCCCCCCTTTAGAGTTTTCTCACCTTCCTCTGAGGAGACCAATATGTCTCAGAATAAGGAGAGTAAAGAATCTAATGCGGAAGGCCAGAGTGGAGCTGAGGATGTTTGCCCTTCGGAGATTGTGACGTGGATTCGTGATGAAGAGTCCCTGGACCCTGATGAACCAGACGATCCAGATGTTGATGGTCCTACACTGCCATCAAAACGTAAAAGGTAAATATGGTACTTGCACCCCATGGGTATTCTTTTCTGTGACCCAGTCCTCGCTCCGTTAAACTGCTGAATTTTCTTCCTGATATGTGCTTTGTTTCTAGGAGTCTCTTTAACGAGTTTGAAGCCATGGAGGAAGGATCCAAAATGGACTGTGAAGCTGCTCCGCTGCCAAACATAGAGGAGTGTGAGGTTTCGACTGGGTCTGTGAAAGAAGCTGCAACGCCACCTCCTTCAAAACCGCCCCAGTAAGATACTTTGTTTAGCCCTCACTTAAACCCTGGTGTGCAACTTATAATACTTTATCTTTTCTGTTTTTCTTTTCCTATTTTAAATTCTGTTTTTTTTTTTTTAATTTTTATTTTTCTGGTGGTGGAAATTTGTTTTTGAAATTAGTATTTGAATTGAATTTAATTGAATTTACAGGTCGGAACCACTGTCACCCGGAGAGATTGAGTCCCTAATGAGGGAAACCTCCCGGAAGAAATACCCTGGAGATATTACGGAGGATGATTTTGTCTCTCCTCATAGTCGACGGAGAGCATTCAACATTCTGCAGGACGCTTTGGCCGAGTCCAAAAGAGAACTTGCAAATACCAAGAAGTCATTTAAGAGACTGGAACAGAAGTACAAGACTCTACAGGATATTGTAATGGAGCTGCGCAAGAATAATTTTTTGAGCATCGAAGGCCAACGGTTGCTTGAGGTTAAACTCAAGTTTTAATACCCTTCCACCCTCCCCCTACCTTGTTCCTTTCCCCACTAGCATGCCAATCCCCTTCCACCTTCTCTACCTTAGTGAGGAATTCTGAGAATACTGTCTGCAAGAACAAAAACCTTGCAGTGTTCCTGAACAATATCACCCTTTTTCTTCCAGACCTTCTGTGGCTATTCCACTTGCTACTTCCCCATGCTGTCTATGTAATTTTGTTCTAACTGGTCAGTGTGTGGCATCTCAGATATCATTTGGGTGTGATGCGGTGTCATGCACTGCTAAGGACTGTGATCTTCCGTCTGTGATAGACTGAACTAATCTGTGATAATTTTGGAATGAACTTAAAACCTTTAAATTTTAAATTCAAAAGTATATTCTGAGGTGTCTTGGACACCATGTCTCGAGCCGTGTCTTCATTAAATCCATTGATTTGGATAAAACGGAGTAGCAAGTTATTTGTAGATTAAGTTAGTAGTAAGTATTAATTGTAAGCTAATTGTTCCTCCTGTGTTCTCAAATGATCCATTATGTAAGGACAGGGCTTACCCCTTCACCTGCTCTTGTATAAATGAATAAATTAAACAGACCTGCATCTCTGTTTTCATCGAACTTAACCATCAATTACCCTAAGGCACATTGAACATAAGAATTACCTTTACTTGGGTGGGGTTCAGGGGGCTCGGAGGGGCGGGCGAGGCGAGTAGTGGAGAGGGTTGGTAATTTGGCCAACGTATGGAGTTGCAGTGCACGCCGAGCCGCCGAGCCCACATGCCTCCAACACTGCGTGCACCCTAGCACCCTCCATACTTCGTACCTCCATGGGCTTGGCGCCTTTATGGCAGTCCACTTGTTGCACCTGCGCGTCCCGGTGAGTGCGAACCCTCCCGGCGACTTTGCAACTGCGCAGAAGACTGATTCCGAGACTGTCAGACTCGCAGTGTCCTGCTTCTGTAAGTGCCGCGCTGCGAACCCATCCATCTGTAATGGAAGAAAACTGAGCGCATTTTAACGCCTTTCTTCCAGCTTGATGGTACGCTCGGCGTCCAGGGTATACTTCCCGTTCCGGTCGTCCACCGCCTCAGAATGATTTGGAAACTTCCTGTCCTTCTCTACACTTGACTTGCGCTGAGTCTACAAGTGCAATTGTGTGCTAGAATGAAGCGCATAAGTGCGTCTTACCAGTGTGCGCCGCCTTTCCCAACAACACATGCCGGGTGCCGCTGCCGATACCGCAACAAAACCAACAAAACGTCGCATGTCCCACAGAAACTCCTTGCGAGATGCGCGGTTGTTGGCGGCGACCAGGAACATGATCCCCGCGCTCCTTAATTTATGCGACGGGGCGGAGGACGCGCCGTGCCGACGCCGAACTTTCGACGTCCTTTTGTGGCGCACGGCACGGGCAGTGGACCAGGAGGCCGCGGTGGAGGCGGTCAAAATCCCGGACGCGTTTTGAGCTCCAGAGTCGCTAAGTGGGACTCGAATCGACCGTGTGACCCCACCAATGAATTCCTCGTGCGGAGAGCAGTTCATTGGTGGGGTCACACGTTCTGTTCGAGTCCTGTTTAGCGACTCTGGAGCTCAACAAAAACGCGTCGAGAGTTTTGGCCGCCGGCGCCGGTCTTCTGGCCCAGTGCGCGGCAGTCTTTCCCGCAACGACAACGAAACGGACGCGGCCAGCCCAAAAACCGCGCCCGGCCGGCGGCGTGGTCACGGGAGTGGCCGGCTTGGCTGGGCCGCGATAAACCCGGAACATTAATTTGATTTACGGGGTAATGGAGGACGCCTGGAGGACGCTGCGCTGTATACTGCCGTGTGATTGAAATTCCGCGCCGTTTCAGCGCAGACGCAGCCCCGGCGCAGCGCCGGCCAGTTAGCGGTTAGTTCCCCGGCGGCACCGAAGGGGCGCTGCACTGCGCGTCGCACAGTGGGCCAGAAGACTGGTGGAGGCGGCCAAAACTCTAGACGCTTTTAGCTCCAGAGTCGCTAAATGGGACTCGAATCGAACGTGCGACCCCACCAATGGATTCCTCGTTCGGAGAGCAATCCATTGGTGGGGTCACACGTTCGGTTCGAGTCCTGTTTAGCGACTCTGGAGCTCAAAACGCGTCTAAAGTTTTGGCCGCCTCCACCGGCCTTCTGGCCCACTGTGCGTCGCCCGCGCGTTTCGCGACCTAGGGGACGCTGGTAACGAAGATTTCTGCCTTCCGGCACATTTGTTCAACGCTCCAGCACTGGTAACACTGCAACGTAGATGTACGCTTCATTCAAGCAACAAGCCTGGCATTCCGTGTTCAGAGAACTGGAGTACCGGAGGCTACCATTGAGATTTTGAGTCGAGTTACACACCACACATCAAGCTACGGCTACATGGCAAAAACGGTTCTTGATTTTTATAAGAAATCCCTGGAAATCACCGAAGTGTTTACTTTCGGTTATCTGGGAAAACAAAGAGCGGCAAAAAAACTGTTCCTGGTTGTCTCAGGGTCGTCCTGTAAATCACCTGAGTCTTAACCTGGGAAAATCAGGAACCTTTTTTTTTTTTGCCGTGCAGCCCAACCTGCCCTGCCAAAAAGGATTCCGTCAGAGGAACCACCTCGCGACGATGGCAAAAGTGGCAACGGCCAAGACAAGTTGCACGTCCCGCCAGGTGAATGCACAATGTGCGGGAAATTGGCGACTTGTCTCCGCGTGGCTTGGCGTGGCGTGGCCTGGCGTGGTGTAGCGTGGCGTGGCGTGGCGGCGTGCGCGGCGCGTGCCCCGTGACGTGATATCATCTTGATTTATCGGGGCGGTCGTCGCTTTGAACAGGCCAACAGTCCCCTCCTGTCGCCCGGCCAGCAGACTGATTCCGAGAGTCGTTCTCGTCGCTCTGTCCCTCTCGCACCAATCCGGACGCCCCATGAGTGCGAGAGAGACAGAGCGACGAAAACGACTCTCGGAATCAGTCCACAGGCGAGGCAGCCGGGGCAGTCACGGCACGCTCACAACAACGGAGCAGCGCGGAGCAGCGAGCAATTCACGATATTTCACACCAAAGTGTGATATCTCGCGCTTATTTATGGCACCCCGTCGCCACGGCGCGCCGTGAACCTTGTCTTGGTCAGGGTCGCGCCACCTGCCCGGACGATTACCGCGTGTAGGACGCGGGGCGGCGCGCGACCGCCACCTCGCGAGCCATCACGAGTCAGGCGCGACGAGAGACGCCTTTGGTTCCGTCCGGGACGCGAGCGGAACTTGAACAGTGGTAAGGACCATCTTCACCGAGGGGACAACCACTCGCGAGATCCTGTGTACACTTGATTGGCGGATATCTTGGCGAAATCGGTAGAAGTCTCGTGAAATCCCTTCCAAATCTGGTGAAAACTCGCAATATCCCAACAAAATTCCATCAAAATCCGGCGAAACCTTGCGAAATCCCTGTAAAATGTCGCGAAAGCGGGATAATTTTTACGTGAAATCCTGCAAAATCGCGGCGAGGTCCCTACCTTTGAAGAATCCAGTGTACAAACAAAATTCAAGAAGTTGCCTCTCGCTCTACACTGGCAGCCTGAGCACGATGAACCCTGAAAGCTTGCAAACTATTTTTGCTACTGGAACGACGTGAACCGCTTAAAACCTTTGAAAGCGCATCAAAATATTACCTGAAAGTCCTCTTTGAAAACTTATAAAAGATCCTGCGGTACAGTCCGCCTCAAGGCGCCTGCAGAACGTCGGGTAGGCAGTCCCGCGGTGCAGCCGTGTCGTGCGGTACAGTCCGCCTCAAGGCGCCGTGTCGGACAGCTCCATGGTGCGAGAACCAGAGAGGGGGAAAGGGGGCTGCTCTCTTTGAACCGCTGCGCCAACTGTCCTGCCAAGGAGTTGCTGCACGCCGCACTCACCGATACATCCCCCCCCCCCCCTTTCACACACACTAACACACCGATTAGCATATGTCACCTAATTGTGAATAGGGCAGGGAAAGGTGGCGGTGGCGCGGCGTGTGGGTTGTCCGCCTCTCCCGGCACGGAGTGCGGACCGCGGACTCCGATCGGCAGCGCCGATACCAGTGCGGCTCCTTCTCTGCGCGACCACCTCCTCAGCCACCTCGGTACCCTCGACCGATAAGTCGCGCCGTCTCTCTCTCTCGGCCGGGCCGGGCCGGGTGGCAACGCTATAGCGCGAGGGCGCCGCGGCGTGTGCGTGCGTGGATTTATAGAGGTGCCACCGCGTGTCCGCGAGTGTGTCTCCTTGTGTCACGCGACGCGCGTGGCGGATCGGCCGCCCCATGCGGCATTGGCGCTGTCCTCCTCTTTTCCAGGGAATGGGCGGCGTGAAATTATGAGCTCGGCCGGGATGGGTTCAACGTGTTTACAAAACGACTAATTCTGATTTAAAAAAAAAAGTTTTTTTGTGTATTTTGATTTTTAACTATTTTTGTGTGTATTTGGATTTTTACTACGATCTTTGTGTTGATTTTCTCTGTTTCTTTTTGGAACAATTTAAAATTTAGTTGCATTTGCTTTGTGCACATTGAATCAATTGATTTTGACTGATATTTTTAGTATTTTGGTTTCTCCTGCTTTTTTGTGCAGTTTGATGTCGCTGTAAAAATTTTTGCTGTTTAGGGCCGTGAAATGACGCGCAATTAGTGACTCACACCCTTGCGCTCCCCGCTCCGCTTCAACAACACCATCATCGACACTCCTCCAAAGGTTGAGTCGGGTCAGGAGCACCGCGCCCGTGTGCGTGGCTTCGTGCCCGCGTCTGCACACACACACACACACACACACACACACACACACACGCATGCATGCATGCACACACCTACGCGCGCACGCGCGTGCACGTTGCGTCCTTAATTGTCGCTATTTGTCACCGCCCTGACGTTTATGCCTTCTTTAGCGTGGCGGAAAATAGTTTGCGAATGACCCAGGCGGCCGACCCAGAGGCCGACCCACAGGCTGACCCAGGCGGGCTGCACTCGGGCCGACCCTCGCCCACGTACGTCCGCGTCCGCCTCGCCGAGGGCGTTTTGAACGTGTGCAGTTTCTCTGGAAAGCGTCCCGGTGCGGTGCCGGCGCGGCTAGACGTGTGCACTTTTGTCTCAGCCTTCCAGCCTTCCAGCCTGCTGGCTCATTCCGAGAGTCGTTTTCGTTGCTCTGTCTCTCTCGCACCGATACGGGACGCCCCATGTGTGCGAGAGAGACAGAGCGACTCCCGGAATCAGTCTGCTTCCAACCCCGGCGCACAGTGGGCCAGAAGACCGGTGAAGGCGGACAAAACTCTAAACGCGTTTTGAGGTTCAGAGTCGCTAAACAGGCCTCGAACCGAACGTGTGACCCCACCAATGGATTCCTCGTTCGGAGAGCAATCCATTGGTGGGGTCACACGTTCGGTTCGAGTCCCATTTAGCGACTCTGGAGCTCAGAACGCGTCTGGAGTTTTGTCCGCCTCCACCGTCCTTCTGGCCCACTGTGCGGCGGCTCTCCGCTTGGAAAAGCTTGACAGCCGCACTAATGCGTGCCAAGGCGCTGTCATACAAGTAAAGCAGCCGGCGGGTCCCCCTTCTGACAGCCCTGGCGGTCGGGTCGGCCGCTCGGACTTGTCGTATCCAGAAACCAA